GCTTCCATTGAAAACTACGTTCCAAACAGGGCACCCTCGCAAAAATACACATATTTACATAATCTAGGAATCTCAGCCCGGACTAATCAAGCGTGGATTTACAGGGGGGGGTCCGTGGCCCACGAAACAAGTTGCAGCCATTGTGACTCAGCAGCTATTGAAAATAAGGGGTCTCCTTACCACTTAACCTCCAGCCGTGAGCCTGTATTAGCCCTGAGCTTGTTGAACTTTGCGCATGAAACAAATCAACACCGGGGCTCTCGACCTACCCCCGCCACAGCTTGGCGCTTGCTTTCTCACTGTAGGACATGATGGGAAAGCTGCCACTAGCCAGCGGGATGCCAGCGAGTACTCATAGCAGCCAACTTTTGGGGCAAGCTTGAACTGGAACCAAGGTTGCCTCAGAGACAGGTCTGGCTGTTCTGGTCAGAAGTCAGTAAGGGCTGGCATGTTGTTTTAAGCTGAAGCGGTGGCCGAATCGCGTCTGGAAATACCCCGCAGCAACATGACAACTGTGAAAATGAGCCTAACCTGGCAAAACACTGCCCTCAGCCACCCCCAAACAACATCATCATCATCATCATCATCATCATCATCATCATCATCATCATCATCATCATCATCATCATCATCATCATCATCATCATCCCAATTCAGCCAAACACCCCGTGCCAGGGCTACCAAAGCAACACACCTTTTCGTGGATCCCGTAATCTTGGATAGCCCACCAAATCACACATTTGGGACTTCAGGGGGTGCGATCCACTGAGCAACTCAGAAAGCTGCAAAGCGGTCCCCGGAAACCATCCCTTGTCTTTTCAAAGCGGCCTCTGTTCAGATCCCATGTTTGATGTATTGATTAACTCATTCGCGGGGACCGGAGCAGCACTCTGCGGTTCGTTCCGGCCCCGGCACCTGCCTCCAAGTTAGTGATGGGAGTAGCAGGCAGCTCAATCTGTTCTTGCTCCACCTCTGTCCGTTCCGCCGCCTGAGTGCAAGCTCCATGGGCTCAACATGGGACAACAAGTATTGCTGTGCTTGATCAGACTAGTCATCCAACTCCTTACGCCTGGTGTGGCAGACCACTGCAATATGGGTTCTTATTTGCTTTCGTCGCCCAGAGGAAGCATCTGTTGTTCTGGGCTGTTCGCCACCCAATGACCCCCGTCCAGGTGGAATTTTGGGCAGGACCACGTTTGAACTTGTTGCCCACCATGAGTTTTTTTATCCGGATAAAACCTGTTAAGGGGGTAGGTAATGTCAAGCAGTTTACTCCGATCCTTGCCCAAACAAGGTTTTGACGCCCTGCATTGATGAAAGGCCTGGGGGGGGTTGCCCTGAGTAGAGTGTCTATAGCGGTTGTATACCTGCGGGGACTGGTTTGGGGGCGGTCCCTCTTGACTATGTATTCATTCCCGACTGAAGCAGGCAACATAGCCCCAAAAGCGCATTTGCACAGGACCCTCCAGTTTTTGAGATCCCCTTGTTGGGTTCCATGTGAATTTCCCAGGGAGCAATTGTCTCCAGTGGCCATGGAAAAAGGGGCACCCCATTTTCGGCCGTAAAGCTTGCAGGGAAGCCGGCTCCCACTCTCAAGTGGATTGCCAAAACAAGTCTAAGCTTTGTTTTCCCCGCAGTCTTCGCACAAAATACAAGGTCCGCAAACTCGGGAAGTGAGGGTTAAGCAGTTTGATCGGAAATCAGGAAACCACAGAACTTGGGCCGGGAGATGGGTGTGTCTCAAAGGGCACCCTCCAAACAGGTGGTTTCCTATTCATTTCCCCCGAAAGATGTAATCCAAACAGAAACAAATATCCCGGAATGCTCCGGAACCCTCCAAAGCGTATCTGCACACAAAGAGCCCAGAGCCTTGCAGCGCTTAAGCAAAATATATCTATAACCACAGGAGTACCCCCACCCCCCACCCCCCCAAACCAAAAAAAAACACTACCCCCCGCCCCCCCCCCCAAAAAAAAAAATAATAATAATAAAATAAACAAATAAATCTATAAATACACATATATATAATACACTACCCCCTCCCAAAAAAGAACAACCACATATATATATATATATATACCAGGTCAAATATCGATGCGCCTGCGGCGGCTTCGTGGCACCCTCGCGGGTGACCCCGGCAGTTCTGCGTGCCATCCACTCCTTGATCCTGCGTGTCTCCATGCCTAGGGTTTGGGGTTGGCTTGTGGTTGGTTTAAAGAAGCAGCTGAGTGAAACAAAGTGGGTTCGAGCAGTTCTTTTCGTGCACAGCGCATTATGAATTTTGCAATATTCGCTCCCCAATTTCATTGTCGGGAATCAACTTACTACTTTCATACGTTCTGTGAGAAAAACAGAATCCCAGAGCAGGGCACCATGGGCTTGATCGTTCTCTCTGGTTTGGCAAGGAATTCGAGCGAAGCACCTCACAAGCTGGGCGACATAAATCACTTTAACCATATCCAAAGCGTCCTCTGGCCAAACGCGATTCGAAACCTGTTTTCGAAGGGATGAAGAAGCGCAAAACAAAATGGGCCCAGGGGTCCTTAAAGGACACACCCCCAATCAAACACCCGCCTCACAAGCAGGTAGAAGCGCTTCTTAACCCAAGCTGCATTTCAGGGACCCTGACTTGAAGAATATTTAAAAGCTGGGCTTTCTGACAAAAGTCGCCGACCTAAATGAAGGTTCCGCTCGCATTTCTGCGAAACGGCGCCTGCTCTCATCATCCTGCGGCAAGGGCCAGAAGAGCGGGATGTTCTCCGCCTTACGCGTCCCTGCGGCGATGGAACCCATGGAGCCCTCCCAGTGCCCAGGGTGGTAGAACCACCCCGAAAGTACATGGTGGAAATTAAAAGTGCCCGTGGTTTCCGGAAATAGCCCAGAACGTGATTCCTCAAAGGGCTTATGCAACAAGTCGCAGCCCGGCTGTTCCAGTGGCAACTAAGAAAAGCGTACTCTCGATCCAGTGGATTGGCCAACAAGTTAAAACTTTTTGTTTGCCACCATGGTTATTCGCACAAAGTTTAAAGTCAAGGAATTCAGGGAGTCACAAAGGGGACAAGGGGACCTTTTTAGAGCCCACATGCTTAAAGAAGGCTAGGTTTTCTGTAGCGTCTTCGTACCAGCTCCTGAAACTGCGATCCGAGTTGGGTAAGGTCCAAGAGTCAGGGCTCTTTGGTTGAGGCCTTGGACTGAACCCCGGCTAAACCTCAACATGCAACATTTCGAAAGAGAATCCACGAGTGGGCTGTGAAAGACTAGCCTAGCGTCCTCTTGAAACGGCCAGCGGCAGTCCACTTTCATGAGCACGTTGGAAAGCTCACTTCCAAGGGTGATCTCTAAATAGTCTGACTGAACTTTCTCAAAACTGTCTTTTTCAAAAAGTGACCAGGGTCCGGAAACAGGGGCAGTGAGAAAGAGGGTATTCATCCAAAGCTCAGCGCCGACTGTCACAACAACAAACGCCACGAGCTTACGTCAGGACCTCCAAGGCTACAGGAAGCGGGGGAAATCACCTTATTGGGGACTTATCCTTGGCTTGTGGGCCTATACTGGGATAGCGACGGCCACGCCCCTAGCCCCCTTTAGCTGCCGAAAGGACGGAAACTAAAGGTTAAACTTTTCGGGACCTTGACTTCCTCAAGCGGCGAATCCGGATGACACCGCAGGCCAGCGACATTCCGTTAGAAGGCCTAGAACCAGACACTACAGATGAGTGCGCGCCATAAAACGAGAACGCCCAATTCTTGGGACGCAATGCACAGGCCTACAAAGAGAAGACCAGAAATGGTCACACACTACGCCGGGCGCTCCAGAAGAAGCGCCAGCGACAACAGGATCAACAATTGCACATATTCGCACTACCCGAGGTGAGCCATGCTGAGAAACGCACCGCACAAAGACATCGAGGGACACCACCTCCAACCCCGGCTCGAAAAACCCGGTCCTCTGCCGATGTAAAGCAGACAACTAGGCGCTGTTCCAGAAAAGGAAGACCTCGCCTGCACGTGGGAATAAGGAGAGGCATCCACGCTGTCCATCCAGCGGTTTCAGCAACACAACCACCACGGAGAGTGGACCACATGACTCAAGCGACTGAGAAACGAACATTCGCACTGCCATCCACAAACGTGCCAAAATGGGACACCCCAAGGGAGAGAGAGTCCCATCTGTAAGTAGCAAGGCAGACCTCCATCGCAAAATTCACACAACACTTGCAAGGGCTTAGCTGTGGTAGCACCGTCCTCGGGAAGTCCGAGGATCAACCAGCGGCACAAGTACATGGGCTTTGCAGTCGGTCGCGTGGCTGTGAAGGTGAAGAAGAGCATGGCTTCTCCCTGACGATGCCATTTCTCACCGGACATCGTGGAGCAAGCGGACTCCAGCCAATCCGCCAACCACAAGGCGACATCATCAGGCAGCGAGGTCGAGGCCTGTGCAGCAAGCGTGAGGAGCGACAGGACAAACAACGGCACGAAGTCCTTCAAAGGCAAGCTAACGACTGAGGCCTCGGCTGGCCTGATCCCACTGTGCGCGCCCCCCCTAGATGCGGGGTTTGTGGACGCCTCACCCACCATCGGAGGTATGGCGAGGCCACGGGTGGCGCTACCCTAAGCTGAATGCTTGAGCCAAAATGGCTACGGTTTTCGGGACCTTGACTAAACAAATAACCACATGGGCAAAAGCAAAAGGCCAAAATTTGACAAAAGGTGGGCTTTGGACAACAAAACGCCCCGAACGCGCCTTGAAGAGACTCCGGAAGCATACTCGGCGGGCCCAAGGCTTTCAGGATCTTCTGGCACTCCGCCGACCCAGCACTCGAAAACACCTCGGCCGGGAGTCGGAAACGAGGTTCCAAGGAGAACCATGGAAAATGGAAGAGTGTACCTCCAATAAAGAGACGCTTCCCGCGTGTTCCTCTCGGGGATGTTTCTAGAAAACAAAAAGCGCTTGTGCTGTAAGCAACTCATCGCTTTCCCTTCAAAAGACCTGCTGTAAACAGACACCTTGGAATTTTCCGTGGCCAAGCTCGACGGATGGCATGCCACGAAACAGAGAAACCGACAAAACATAGCCAGGTGTGTTTACTTGGTGCTGTTCTCACTTCGGTGGGTGGATGTGCCAAACAAGTCCAAACTTGCCAGAAAGTAGAAGACAGGCATCTGAGGGAGTGAGGCTTCTATAGGCTTACTTACATACCCCCTAAATAAATACAGGGCAGGGTGTATAAATCCGGGGTCAGCATAACGCTCTTTTCAACAATCATGACAGCTAACATGAGAACGGGCATTTCCTTTCGAGAAAGCCCCTTGCTCACTTTCATGATTGGTGGAAAGAAGGCAACTGCCAAACAAGCTGCTCCCAATTTACTCTGCACGAACTGTGGACCAGGAAATTCTAGAAGCAGGGCGACTGACTGCAAAAACGCATGCACCACCTTCACGCGGGAGAGGGCGCGTCAAGACATTTTGTAACGGCATTTACAGGTGAAATCGCCAGTAGATGGCGCCAGAAAAATGCGATCTTCGCGCACATGTCGAGCTGTCAATGAGACCATGTGCTGCTACATTCCCAGATCGTGCTCACGCCTACCGGGTAACCGTGGATGTTCAAACCCTAACAAACACATGCAAATTCAGAAGTGCTTGTCTGCATGCAGGCATCTGCAGCAGACATTTAATATGTTCCTTACAAGGGGGTCGTCGCTAGCGCAAGCAGTACCCAGTGGGCCGTTGGAAGAATATATGCATGTATATGTATATGTAAAGTGTTACACTTACATAACTTGCATGTCTAAAGCTCTTGCATGATACTATTGATCTCTGGAAAATCGGGGGGTTACAGAAATTCCCCCGCTGGATTCAAATACGGGCTTAGAACAAATGATCAAAACAACGGCCCGTTGGCGTTCCTTCAAGACAACAATCGCAGTGGGCAGTTTAGCACTGGGCATGAAGCCATGGAACAGTGGGCAGCGCATACCCCATATGCAAGGCTTATGCAATGAGTGCAACTTGTTCCCTCGTATGGCGGCATGCTATGGGTCGAATCCCATCCCAGAAATGGTGCTTGGTCCTCTGCAGGGAACGCAATGACCCCCCAAACTCAACCATTTAACTGGTTCCTTTCAGCGGAATACCGATTTATAGCTATTTCTGTTTGTGGCATAGTTGTTTTCTTCATATCTGAAAACACAGATCGAACTGTTGGGAAATCGACATCCGTCGGATCTGGCTTGCGAAGCAGGCACTTTGATGCGGTTGGTTTGGCGCTTCGACATGAAGGTAGAGGCAAAGCCTATCACGAGGCGCACGATGAAGGGGGCATTCCTGTAGTCAGTCGAGCGTCGGGCGGCTTTGGGTGGAGAGTTTGTGGGGAAGGGAGGGTTGTGGGCGCGTGTAAGGGCCTTGGGGGGGGGGGGTTGCGGGGGTCTTCAAGTTGAAATGGCGGTTTTTGAAATTTTGTAAAACTGTGCTGGGTGGGCCTGAGATCGAGGGAAACGAGGGAATCAAGCCGGCTGGAGGAGGGCGCTCCCAAGACCCGCTCGCCGGATTTTTGGAACATTGGCGGAAGAAAGCGAGGGCAAAGAAACCCGTGGTTCTACCCGCGTTTTGATCGTCTAGGTTCTCGGAACCCTGGCATTGCACCAAATACCACCCATGTCAAACAACATATTTGGGGATCATTCGGATGTCTCGAAAGACCCGGGAACTTGCATGGCCCTTGTCAGGGCTTCAAAAGACACCGGAAATTGCAGCAGGCCCACGGTGTCCCCTTCGGTAAACATGTGGCAGGCTTTGGCACGCAGAGTCAAAAGGCACCTCCCACCATTTTGTAGATGTACATTTGTATATAAACATTGTTTGTTGTTTGGTGCCGGCCACCACTAACCGAGGACAACAAATACAAGTTCGACAGTTTCAGTTCTTGGCGTTGGACAAGTCAGGCGCCGGATCCCAAAAAGACTGGTCTTTTGCCAGCCGATCCCGCGCGCAAACCACGCGGTAGAACATTGGCCAATGCCGAGGGTTGCGTGTGGTTGGGACCGTCCCGCGCTTCCATGGCTTGCATTGCGGCTCATTTCGTCCAAAGGCAATGGGCCAAGCGAGTTTCACTTCCTAAACAAGTCTGAGGTTCGTGTTTACCACTGAAAGGGTCAGCCGAGAGTATAAAGCTCCTAAACATTGCGGAGCTGCTGGTGAAGACAAAAAAGAGGGGGGGAGGGGTGCTTCCCAAAACATGCAAACCGACAAATGAGTCACCAAAGTCCGGGCACTGCTTGGAGTTGGGACTTGCACCAAGGGACACCATCAAAATCAGGATGTCGTGATCGCAGTAGTGGGCCATGATCTGGCCCGCATTGTCCTGGAGGGCTCCGAACCGAAGCCGAAAAAAACCACTGACTCAAGCAGAATATCTTCCTGAGTGGATTGAACAAACAAAGTCCAACCTGTTTGTGTTTCACCAAACGCGTCCTCTGAACAAGGTGAAGGCCCTGGTACCAGCAGAACAAACGGCTCTCAAAGCCCTCCAAAAACCAGACCTTGGGTCATCTTGGCTCATTTTTCCTTCCGATCCGGCCGTTCGGTCGGGGCCAAACGCTTTGGCGTCCTGCATAAACTTCCTGACCTCCGGCACGAAGATCGGCAAGGTCTCGCGCCCCAGATGGATGGCATCAACCCTCAGCTTCGGCTTCAACCCCCCCCCATCAAAAAAACAAAAGCAAAACAAAAAACGGCACCTTTCCCCTGTCTAGCAGGTTTTGTCTTCCAACCCAAACCCATATTTTGTTACAATATGGCTCATGTCTGGCAAACCTTCGATTTGAATAACAATGCTGTAGCCCCGAGAGGTTCGCAGCAATCGGGTGCCAACACTTCCAACTGCCCCGCCTCCGACGTGGTTTTTTGCATGGGCTTACTCTCACGGAGAGGGGCACCCTTAAGCGAAGTGCTCTTGGAAACCGCAACGAAAGGTCGCCTTGCAAAGGGCTTGGTAAAAAGCAGGGTCTTTGGGCGCATTTGAAGAAATAAAACAAAGTACCCATCCCCCTTTGGGCGAACCAAAGCTTGACCCCTACTGCGGATGGACGAAATCCTGCACTACCTAAGACACCCTGGTTCTGCTGTCCATCCACGGTATCTCTAAACATCCCGATGATGAGCCGGAGTTGAAACGGCTGGCCAGGCGCCTGGCGTCTTTGAAGGCATGCATTTGCCTCTGAGACGAGGTCTCAAAAGAGGCATTCCATTCAACTTGGCCTACATCCGGGGTATCGTACGTGGAAAATAATACGCTGAAAACTTAAACAATAAAAAAAGACCCCAGTCAAGGCCTGAAAAGAGGCGTTCCAAGCAGCTGAACCCCCCCATGTCGAGGCACAGCTTCACAGTGTACAAGACCTTGTGCCTCTTGTAGCAGTTGTCATCCACCTGGGCACGGACCCGGGCCCGAGGGGGACATTGAAGTAAAACCAAGCGCTTGAAAGCAAACAGGCAAAATGGAAACTAAGCTGAAGCCAAAAGGTGGAAAGAAAAAAAGGGAGGACGACACCCAACCAGTTAAGGTAGGCAAACAGTTTGGCAACGCCACCAGCTTCATAATGTACTCCATGCTCGCGCGCACCAGCTGCAGGTCGCTATCCATCGTGTGGCAGGAGGGCCGCTTCTGTGCAAACTCTGAGGCCTGGGCAGCATCTTGGGACCATCTTGGGTGTTCCTCAAAAATACGCTCGGGTGTTTTTTTTGTTTTACTGGAAACTAAAAGGAGATCAAGCACCTTTGCGGTTCCCTCATATTGAGATGTTTGTTCAAACAGTCTGAACCATTGCGGCACGAAACTCAGACATGGACAGTTTGTCAGGTCAGTCCCAAGTGAGACTCGGGTCGTCTTAAAAAAAGGACGCCTCAATTTTGACCACTGTGAAACGACTGCTAAAGCGAGCGGCTTTGAAATACCCAGGGGACGCGAATATGATCAAGTGCCCGTCCTGGCAGGACAGGCTTCTGCAGCCACTTTCGGGGCTGAGAAGAGACACATGTTTATGTGTGTATACAAATATATGTGTGTGTGTGTTGTGTGTGTGTTGTGTGTGATGCGCGCCCGCGCGCGTGTGTGTGGGTGTGTGGGTGTGTGGGTGTGTGGGTGTGTGGGTGTGTGGGTGTGTGGGTGTGTGGGTGTGTGTGGGTGTGTGGGTGTGTGTGGGTGTGTGGGTGTGTGTGGGTGTGTGGGTGTGTGGGTGTGTGGGTGTGTGGGTGTGTGGGTGTGTGGGTGTGTGTGGGTGTGTGTGTGTGTGTGTCTATGTGTGTCTATGTGTGTGTGTGTGTGTCTATGTGTGTCTATGTGTGTGTGTGTGTGTCTATGTGTGTGTGTGTGTCTATGTGTGTGTCTATGTGTGTGTGTGTGTGTGTGTGTGTGTGTGTGTGTGTGTGTGTGGGTGTGGGTGTGGGTGTGGGTGTGGGTGTGGGTGTGGGTGTGCGCGTGTTTGTGTGTGTGTGTGTTACGTATGTTTAAGCGTGCATATTCATATCTGGAAGGGGGCTTACAGCCTCTTTCAGGAGCAACCCATGGCGAAGAATGAAGAACCAAATGGTTTCAAAATGATGTAAGGCTATTCAAAATGGAGAGGTATGAGGACCCTTGTGGCAAAGTCATTTGGAGAAAGCGTCTTGCTGCCGTGAGAAGAAAACCTAACTTGGAGGCTGGGTGCCAGAATGGAAGGGGGAAAGCATACATCTCCGTTTTGTTTCCTTTGAGGGAAATGGACAATTGTGGGTGCTATGTACCACCCAGGAAACCAAAGGCCAGCCAAAACCCATGAAACTAAGCAAAACTTACTAAAATGGAACGTGGGCTTGGGGGCGCTCAGAAGACGCAATAGGATTCTATTAAACAATTTTGTTTTCCTTGGAGCCTTCAGGAAACCAAAGGCCGAAGAGAGAAGCACAAGAGTACTCAAGACCGTTGACAGGTCTTTCACTTGAGTTGTTCAGGGCTTGGCTGGGTTCATGTCCCCCAAAAGGCCCAGCCATGACTCTCTCTCTCTCTCTTCTCTCTGTCCGGCGTCTCCCCAAAAAAGGGCGCCAGCGCCGGGGCGAAGGGCGAGCGCACCGAGTCGAGCCACTCGGTAAACCTCAGTCAACCCCAACTCCTCTACGGGTCCCTGGTGTCCTCCAATGCTCGCTTCAGGATAAAGCCCAAATTCAGTGCAGACTTGCTTTGTTCTTGGCTGTCTGGGTCCAACCCCGCTCTCCAAAAAAACAGCTTGGTGTGACGGCTCGTGCCATGTTTTCGACCAATTGCCAGTCATGACTCTAGCGTGGTGTTTGGCGGCACCAGTACATTTTCGAACATGTCGTCTGAATTGGACCCTTCGCATGGCCATCTTCGTGCTGCTCAACAAACAACAAGGTGACTTGAGCAGCCTTCAAATAGAAGTGCTGCAGTTATCTTTGCAACACGGAACCGGGCTTTCCATTTCAATTGGTGACATCCCTCCCAAATGTTTGGTGGACTGCAACTTGAAGCTCCATGTAACAAATGGCCGCCAAGGGTCCCCAAGTAAAGCTCACACGTAGAACAACAGTAGCGAAAAGCACGGGAGATTCAAGCTAAACACATATATACATATACATATGTGTATATATATATATACATACATACACACTGGCAAACGCACAACAACAAGCATCTGTTTCCAAAACAAAAGACAAAGACATAGACGAACACACCACCCGAAGCTCATGGAAGAAACTCCTCCTTGCTGAGGTCGATGAGGCCCTCCGGCTTTCGACATGCGACGACCCATTGCGTCGCCATCTAAACAATTCCGGACGCTTAAATAGCCATGGGTCAAAAGCCCGTACTTCCAGTGAACATCCCAATCTCCACTAAAATAGGTTCTAAAATGGGTGGTGCACCTACCCCAAAATGGGAGCCCACTGGTTTGACCACAGCCAAATAGGCCAATAAGGAGTTTATACTATGGAGGCCCAAGTGTTGTTTCACCTGTGATGCGCATGGCGACTGAGAGTGGGAGGCCTCGGTTCTAAGGGCATGGCCCACGTGCTTAGGCTGAAAAAAAAAGTGGAGTCGTGTCCATTTTCCCGGCGAGTTTGTTGGAAAGGCCCCGTCAGACGGTCCTGATCGTGATTTCAGAAAACCAAAGCAAAGATTGACTCAGGCCATGCCATCTGCAAGGGGGCAAGGTTCCGAAGAATCACTTTTCTAAGTTGGCTGAACAAACAAAGTAATATAACTTGTTGGTTTACCACTAGATTTGTTTGTATGGAAAGGAAAAAAAGAGTTCGGGAGCTCAGGGAAAAGATTATCAAGTCCCCTGCAAAAATGTTAGCTTGTTGCTGGTTGAAAGGGAATATGCGGTTTGGGGCCTTCTCACAATTTCAAGGGGAAGCCAAAAGGAAACAATCTGTACGGGTGCCTATTTCGAGAAACAGCCATGTGAGGGAACCCGAAAGGGCCAAAAGTGCAGTAAGCGTACATCTGGGAATGTGTTGGAAGATGTTGGGAGACTATCATGGACTGAATCCTAACTGGGGATGGACACATGGCCGAATGAATGTCCAGGCTTCTCTGGCTCGCGTGTTCCCATGGTGCCCCCTGAGCCTGGGAGCCAAAGGGAGCCTGGGAGCCTGGGAGCCTTGAGCATTGGTGGGTCAACAAAAACCGTTGCGGAGCCATCGCCACATACCGCTGGCCTTGCGCAAGTTGTCGATCTTTTCTGTCACTCTCCACTTGAGAAACTCGGAGTAGCCCTTGGCTGCCTGGCAACTCAAACATGTCGCCGGCGCTTGGGACGCTGGCGGCGCTTTGTGCCGCCTCATCTTGGTTCGTTGATCCGTTGCTTGAAGCTAACCTTGCGGAATATGCCATAAATCCATCACGCTAACCTAAGAGTCTAATAATTTTGGCTGGCCATGGTCACGGACCTGGATTTATGTTCAGGACTGCAAGAAAGCATTGCAAAACAGTGCGCGATGGATGGGTACCGATGCCCCACACATTGCAAGTACACGAAACACAATTTCCTTTTTTTTGAAGTGTTTCCCGTGTTCCTTTCTTGCAATCCATTTTTAGGGCATCCACTGTAATCTGCTGATGTTGCGCGATGCATTCTCACATCGGGGTGATTGGTTGTGACACTGGCAACGGGGTTCTCAAAAAATACCGGCTTCCAAAAACGGTTGGTTTCCTTTTGGCTTCCCTTTGAATACCAACCATAAGGGCATCTTGAGAAACGCCCATGTAGGCGGGTATGGATTCGGTTTGGTTTTCCTTAAACTTGTCCCAGAACCTGGGTACACAACTGGCTGTTCAGAGTTGCATGTTGGCCAATCGAAACCCATCGCTACTCCTTCCAGAACCCCAGGTAGGGATTACGGTATGTGCCTTTGAACAGTCCAGGTAATCTAACATTGTTGATATTTAGTCAATCCGAGAATGCGCAGTCACATCGGCCCCAGTGAAACTAACAAATTGACACCTCGCTGGCACTTATGACTTCGGCGACGGGTCGTCTGATGGCCGTCAGTGGGCATTCCACATAACATCGACTCATCAACCTAGTGGATTGATAGAGAGGGGTTTTCAAAAAGCGAAAGTTCCCCTCTAAAATGGGCTAACCCTCTATTGAGGGATTTCTGATTCCTGGGTTCCCGTTGGAGAAATTCTTAGGTCCAGAAGTGTTCGATATGAGCAAAGCAAACCCACCTTGGTCACGTCTCCATAGTTGAAGCGCAGAAAGCGGCAAATACGAATGTCTCCAACGACGTCCCGCGGCGAGTTGGGCAAGGCGGCAAGCTCTGCCTTAGGCGGGGCTTTCTCAGCCCATCTCAGCCGAGCTGGCCCAGCTCAGCCCTTGGAAGCTTTTGCTGTGGGAACTCACTCACTGTTACAACAAGTTAAAGGCTAAGGACCCAACCCAACATCTAATGTGAACCCCTACAGGACATGGGACATTTAGTGAGCCACTTGTTTTTCCTGGAGCCAGACTTTGAAAATACGAAGCGAGGGCTTGGTGAACCCACCCAAAGTCGTGGTATTGCTGGGTTTCCAGCATTTGTTTCCAATACGTCTACATGCCATCTGGTTACTCCAAACACCCTGGCAAAGCAAGCGACACTGGAAGAAAACGGCAACTGGCTGCTGGCATGTGGGAGCCAACAAACGGAATTCAAGCTGCGGGCCCAAGCGACAAAAAAAAACAAGACTTGTTTCCAAGTGTTTCCCCCAAGAACCATTCCTAGTTTTTGATGTTCCCTCCTGCCTTTTGCAAGCCACTCCCGCTTCTTGATTCATGCAATTGAAACCCCTGAAACTCCTAGTTTTCAGAGGGTCTCCTGGAAATGACCTGGAGAATTGAAAAACAGAGAAATCACCAGACCCCATGGTCTCCAACCAGAGGGTATCAACCACTCACGCGAGGAAAAAACCGAGCTGCCGCGCAAATCCTCCGGATCTCTTGGAGCTGCGCCAGCTCCTTGTCCGAAGGCCACGACACGTCCTGGGCCAGACCGGTACACTAAAATACTCACTTGCTGAGTGGATGGCCCAAAAAACATCAATCCTTACATTTCCCATTAAAATGGTCTTCCCGAAAAGTTTAAAGTTCATGAACTCAGGAAGTGAGAAAGAATTATTCGCTGGTGTGGTAGGGAATTAAAGGAAACCAATTGGGATGGTTTAGCGAGGGGTCATTCCGTTCTCATTCGCTTCTGAGCACCAGCAAGATTAACATGCCGCCAAAAAATAACGGCCTGGCCATTGGACGTGAACCCCACAAGGAATCAATACTGCGAAAGGATGGACCCAGTGAAGCGGAGTACGGTCAAACATCAAAGTCTGTGCATAGGACCGTCACGGTTTGGTGACGTGAAAGGAAAGCAGCAGTTGGACGGTTCAGTTCGGGTCATTCCAGGTGTCCAAATCCAACTTTGCTGGTGAATGGTCAGCAAATACATTACCCGCAAATCAAAGTTACAACCACCAGCCACTGTAAAGGGCCCAAACAAACCTTGTTCCAACTCATCCCCTGCCAACCGAGACAGCCAGCGCAAATCAAACACGGTGTCAACATGGACTACCCAAAACCATGTAAATCATCTACAGGGCGGCCACACCTACTTGGCTGTGGGTCCAAACCCTGTACCCCTGGTGAACAAAATAGGTGGCAAATGGATGTTCACCCCAAAATGGAGCCATAGGTTATGACCCATGGCCACTTGTGGCTGGGACCGTCCCTTACCTACCTCGCCTGGCTTTCACTGTGGCCATGTCCCAAACCAGCCAAGGCGCTGCACCATCCAGGGTATACTCCGCCATGGCGCCACTGCTCTCAGAGGCTCAGAGCCACATGCCCGCGACCCAAGGGACTTTCGCTGGGCCCCGCAACAGTCGGGCAGCTCCAAAATGGCTTGCGCCCATGTCAACATCCTCCGAAACCGACATTTAAACCTGGGCTCCCAATCTTCGACGCTTCAAGCGTCTGCGAGTTGAATGTGCCAAATCATGTGTTGTTTCATTTTTGTGTTCTTCTCGCGAGAGTGGCCGAAACTGGGTTCAGAAAGGGGGGCATCCTGATCCAAGTCCGTCTGGCTCTACCTGAGGAAAAAAACATGAAACAAAAACAACATGGCAAACATAATGTCTGAATTCTGAGCCTAAATCAGACTGCTCATGTTCACAGGTGCGAACTTGATGGCTATTGCCCCCGACCGACAAGTTTAGCATTGCAGGTCTGTGGGACAATTGACCAGGTCTGAAAAGTTACAGGTATATATCTTGACTCCCTCTGATCAATCTGGGATTCACTAATCCAGGGTGAACACTGTAAGGCCCGCACGGGGAACTCAGTGATCCATAAACCAGCGAACAAAACAAAGAAACCCAAAAGGGAGTGTCCCTGGAGTCTCCATGACCCCATTTAAAAATGGGGTCATTACCCAAAATAGTGGGGTCATTGCCCCATTTTTAAAGGCTCACGCAGACTCCAGGTCTATGTTTGAGGGGGCCCCTTTTTGCAGTTAGATCAAGCTAAAGGGGAACCCCACCGAAGTGTTGAGCCTCATGGAGAGGAAGCAGGATCTCTATGGGTTGCTTTTTAGGAACGAAACCGAACCGAGTGAATTCGGTTCAACGAACTGGGGCACTGACCAGTTGCCCAGTGACGGTAGCGAATGGGAACCCTTGTTCGGGGGGCCATGTGGACCCAGCAAATGAGAAAAGAACAACTTGCCAATCAGGGTGGGCCAACCTGCCAACCCCCCGGTTCGATATGTTATGTTTAGACACCTCAGTCTCCGAATTGTGCCTGGTCCTTGACTGAACATGTTCCCCAACCCTGCTCATCAACAGCTTGTTGCATGCCATCCGAGCTTTCCTGCTGGTTAAGTCCCAAGGTTTCACAAGTGCAAACTTTCTTTGTTGCAGCCGCTAGGCCAAACGAACACAACAATTCAGAGTCCACAACCATCACATATTTGGTTTTGGGCAAGTCAGATGCCATCCGAACTTTTCTACATCGATGCTGGAGCTTGTCTACCGGCTCAGCTGGGAAAACTCCTGAGCCGTGGGCGCAAACTTAGGGCACGCCCAAGCTCTCAAGCTCTCGGACTGCATTCCAGCTCATTCCGCCCACGAGCTGTCAAGTGGTTGAGCGAGATAAGTGACTTTGGGGCCATTTGACAGCCATTGGGGCGGCATAGTTGGTTGATTCTCTTTACAAAGTGCCCAGCTCGGCAACAAGAACCGCTGACCGTGAGCTTCTTGCTCACTTGGCTCAGTCTTGCTGATCTAACCGATCCGTCTCAAATGCACTCTTCGGATCCAAAGCAGCGTAAACTTTGGGTGCCGCGGGGGCCACGAGGAATCCGAAACACTGTTTAGGGGGTATCATGTTCTAGCCTTGTTTTAGAGAGGACAACCTCGCTTCCAAACCATTGATATATTTCTAAGGGGTGGCCATAGTTGTTAGCACGCTCAATAAATTATTCATGTTGCATCGCCTCGTCGAAGCTGTGATTGCCTTTCGCATGTTAGAAGGCCTCATGTAAAGCCAAGTCGGGGTACACCAGAAGCCGGGCAAAGCAGAGCATGGTGCGCAGTAGACAAGTTGAACTTTTGGCCAATCACTGAATAAAGGAGTGCCAAAAAAGAGCTTTGTCGGCGACTGGGGTAATATGTTCATATTCTGCCAAATACTTTGCCGATTTTGCGGGAATACCAGCCCCACGTGGCACCACTCCCTATGGCAGAAGCTCCGGCGTAGGACCCAATAGGTGCCATGGTCAAAGCTAGGTGGCCGATTGCGTGCACAAAAAGCGGATAACTTATGATAACTTGGGCTGGTTACCGGGGAAAAGATGATCTCGCTAAAAATCAAGTTCAAAGATATACCCCAAAAGCAGCAGTTTGAAGATCCAACCGAATATTCAAGCTGGCTCCTCAAACTGGTTTTCCCTGTTTCGCGGTGGTGCGCTGGTCCCCGGGCATGGTGGAACTTTTGCGGGAGTCCAAGAAGTTGTTTTCGTGGTGCCGCATACCTTACATGTTACGCAATCAGCGGCCGCTCGAAATGACCATGGCCCTTCAGATGTGACAGCACATCTGACACGTAGGCAGTCAAACATTGCTCAACGATCAATCATTTGGATTGATTATCACCCACGTCCAGCTACGAGAACATCCATGGGTGGACAACATCAAGGAAAGGTACTGCTACCTTTTGATTGACTTCGTTCCTTCTTGGCTGGAAGGGGAATTAGGTTCCTTCTGCCCGGGCGAAACAAAACGAAATGCTTTTGCCCGGCACACTTCCGGCACACTAGCACACCTTGACAAAACTCTGAAAACAAAGAGTGGATGGTGTCTGGCTATCAGGTTGTGTGGCAGGTCGCACGTCTGTGCCCAGGCGAGACAAGACGTGTCACTTGTGCACGGCACACTTACGGCACACTAGCACACACTGCTGACATGCCTGCAAACACAAGAGTGGATAGCGTCTGGCTCTCAGTTTCGCTGCAGGTCACCTGCAGGTCGCCCGTCTATGCCCAGGCGAGACAAGACGTGTCACTTGTGCACGGCACATTTACGGCACACTAGCACACACTGCTGACACGGCTGCAAACACAAGAGTGGATAGCGTCTGGCTCTCAGTTTCGCTGCAGGTCACCTGCAGGTCGCCCGTCTATGCCCAGGCGAAACAGGACGCGTCGCTTGTGCACGGCACACTTACGGCACACTAGCACATGTTGCTGACAAGGCTCTGAAGCCAACTGGTCCCCAGCTTTGTATGTCGCCGCCTTTGCGGGAGAATCGGGTTCATCTGGCAATGTATTTTGCGCCCGGCCCTGGGGCCGGTGCTAAGATACTGTGAATACCATGCTTTTGAGCATGTGACGCGGGCAACTAGGCGAAGTGCAGACGCGTTTGCTTGCAGCAACTTGGCACATTGACATCTCCGCCGGCCGCCCTCTTGAAAAAACAACTTCCGGCTCACTCAGCCGCACAGGCGCAGAACCTTGCGAGCGAAAAGTGGGAGCAAACGAGTGGCGCAGGCTGGGTATGGAACAAACACATTCTGAGACCTCAAACTCACATAGTGATTTGGAGAAGCGGATTCGATAAAGGCCCCCCCCCCCCGACTCTGAACAGAAGCCTCACTTGTTGCTGAGGGGGGGGGGGAACAAGTTTGGGGGGGGGGGGCACTTGTTGTTCAGGGGTGGGGGAAACAAGTGACCACCCAACCCAATTGTTGACCCTCCTGAACAACAAGTGACCCCCCACTTGTTGTTGAGACCCCTCCCCCCCAACGACAAATGACCCCCTCGCTCCCCCGCCCACTTGTTCCCCCACATCTTGTGTTGTTCGGACACACACACACACACACCGGAACAACAAAGCCCCCCCATCCCTGATCGCAGGGATATGAATTCGCGAAAGAAGGGAAGCCACCATAGGGATTATTGGTGACCAGTGATTTTGGGGCGATGGACCAAGGTTACGGCCCTTCTGACAAAAGAATGCCTAAAAAGGGAAGATGTAAACAACAGCTCAGGTTCTGTTCATATTTGGTCTACCCTACAATGCAAACGAGCTTTGGGAGGAAACTCCGAAGAGAAAACAAAACTTTGAACTACTGAGTCAAGCGCGTGCGGGGCTATCAAGCCGGCACCGGGCCCATTCAACTGATCGGGACACGGCCCGGCACCAATGACAGTTTTCTGAGTCCTCAACATGGAGCCGATCCAAAGGGAGCACCAAGCAAGACCAAATCAAAAACAAAACAACACATCTTCCCTCAGGTTCTCGTTGAACATGTGGGAGTGGATCAAAAGGTGTGTGATACATGGGATGACCATTGGCTGGAAAACCATGAAATCATGACTACAGAGCACCTGGTAGTGGCAAGTGAAAAATGATATTCCCCCATGTTCAGATTCCCATCAGCCTGAGCTCTAAGGTCTGGAAAACTCAAACGGGCCCAGCAATTCGTTGGCTTCGTCCCATCGAGGCACCAGCTCCGGCGGCTAGCTCGCGGTGACTCGATCATGAGGTGGATGGGCTCCTGGGAGCATCAGAACGTGGCCCCTCCCACGTTGACATAGACCCGGAAGAAAGGGGCGGGCCATGTTGGCGGGAGAATAATATACCCGAAAAGGTACGGGGACTGCAAAAACAGAGGCACCTCTGCTGAAGGTATACCTAGCTGATGCCTGAACATTCGGACGCTCGCTCCCTTCTCATTTGCTCATACACCAACGCCAGGTCAAGAGGAAGGAGAGACACTATGACTTGAATCAACCCAGAACCTTGCGAGGCAAAATTGCACAATGGACCTGGACATGAAAGGCCCAAAGGTCCGCTTTGTCCACCATGGGAGTGTTTTTGCACATATCGGCTTCTGCGTTGCAACAAAGGGGCATGGCTGTGGGATAATTACGCTCTGCATCAAAGTGGAATTCTGATCCCGGCCCGCAGCTACTTTGTCACTTTGGAGGGGGTTTGCTACAACTATCGAAGCACGCGCTTTCAACAAATTACATTACAGGCTGGAAATCCAATTCTTAGGGGACTGCGAACAAAGACACGACACGAGCGTTCGCTGTTCCCTTATACCAAAGGTGGCCACCCCAAGGGTACACCGCAAGCATCTGTTTTCTCTGGTTCATATTTTGTTAAACACAGAACCTACTTTCCGAGCCCCCCAGAAAAAGTCAGTTTTCCCAAGCTGAAGGTTAACATCAAGGCGCATGTAAGCATCCTGGAGCGCAATTGAAACTCATTCAAGCAAACCAACAGTTGTAGTTGGAAAGAGATAGCGGGTAAAAGGGAAAGGGGAGCAACTTTTGGATGAGTTCCCAAGGGATAGAAATGTTTCTCAACGATGAGTTCCCTCCTTCCTCTTTCCAAGACTCAGCGTTGCTTTGCGCCAAAAAAACGACGGGGCCAGCGAGGCCGGAGCCCGGCCTCCGGCGTTCCCGCTGGCATCTCTGACTCTGACTCTGGAGGCCCCGTGCTCAGGGACTCCTGGCGATCACTCCGATGCTTTGGTGGGAAGGTGTTTTGGGGTGGTGATCAATTTCCTGGAGTCTCCGTGACCCTTTAAAAACGGGGTGATAACCAACTATTTTGGGTAATGCCCCTATTTTTAAGGGGTGAGTCCCCAGGCTGTCTTGAGGATAAGGGGTTTAAATTTAAATCCAAGCCACCAAATACCCGATGCACACCCGTGCAAAACAACCAGACCCGATTCGGAACCAAAGCTGGCTGCTAAATAGGGGCTCTCTGAAAAACAAATCGCTGCCAAACCAGGCCTCCAAAAGAACCGGACCCGATTCGGGAATTGGCTCCTCAAGGGAACCCAAAGCTGGGTGATAAGCCGGGGTGCGGCAAAAAGTAAAACAACAACCAGTACGTCATGCATGTCATAGACCCGATTTGGCGACTCGGGGAACCAACCGGCTGAAGTCCTCGCCAAGTTT